TAAAGTCCCGGCGCCGCAACGTGCGCAAGTTTTTCTCATTTCGCAGATACTTGGCGGATATATCACCGTTATCTAGCTTATTGTCAGAGTTTCTGCCTTTTATGATACAAAATATACTTGCGATAACTCCAAAATATTCGTCAACTTTTTGGCCGATATTTCAGTCACATTGGGTCAATCTTTTGGTGTTATTTTCGCGCTTTTTTGAAGACATGTTACATTCAAATATTGGCCAAATATCTCTTGCTAGAGCTACAGAAATTATTACGATTGGTTCGCAACTATTTCCGAGTAGAAAGATAGCAAAATTCACTATGTTTGACTACAAAGACGTGTTCTGATTTCATATTTGCTTCGTATCGTAAAAGTCACACTTTAGAAAATCACAAAATATTTTTAACAGTACTCTGCCTTGACGTTCAATGCAATATTTACAGTTAAATGCTGAGAAAACTTCAAACTCAGCATCAGTAGAAAAAGAACCGCTGATTTCTAATCAGCCGTAGCCTTTGATGCCAACGAAATGGTTAAACACCCAAGCCCAAACGATAAGTGTCCGGACTGGCCGTGAACGTAAGTGAAGTACTAGGCTACTGGATACCCATACCCGCATGGAAAGGCGAGACTAAACCGCTACTGAAAACTGTCCGAGCTTCCTCGACATTGCTGGCACGCCTGAGAAGCCAACTTTTAGACGACTTTTCTGTCTGAAAATTACCCGACTTTTGAACTTGCTGGCGCTGCAGACTGCAGCGCATATGCGCTGTGGCCGAGCTTCGTAAGGACATATGGCTTGGCTGAGCATACAGCCACCTCTAGGCCTAGGCTGTGAGCGAGCTGAGGGACAGCTGTCCACTGTCAGAAAGCCTCGTGGAAAGGCACGCTTGGCCAGAGCGCGCTCGCTCCCGGGGAGAAGCGAACAGCGCACACGTTCCTCCTCTGTGTGCTCAGCCAAGCCTCACGAAGCTCGGCATAGCGAATGGGCGCTCCAGTCTGCAGCGCCGGGAAGTTCAAAAGTCAGGTAATTTTCAGACAGAAGTCGTCTGAAAATTGGCGTCAAGTCAGGCATGCAACCAATGTCTAGGAAGCTCGGACAGTTTTCAGACGCGGTTTAGTCTT